TCATTACCTTATTTAATTATTATTTTGATCATTTATTTAAATAAAAACTAATATTTAATTTAATTTCTCATTTAAATATTTTTTATTTACCTTAATTGGTTATGTACATTATTTATTTAATATTTAATTACTTTATTTAAATAAAAACTAATATTTAATTTAATTTCTCATTTAAATATTTTTTATTTACCTTAATTGGTTATGTACATTATTTATTTAATATTTAATTACTTTATTTAAATAAAAAATAATGTTTCATTTTATTTCTCATTTAAGTATTTCATTAATTAATTATCTTAATTGGTTATGTATATTGTTTATTTATTATTTCATTACTTTATTTAATTAGTACTTTAATCACTTATAAAAATTTCATATTATGTATTTAATATTAATTGGTTCTGTGTATTATTATTTAATATTTCATTACATTATTTAATTATTTAATATCTTTAATTTTTTATGTATATTATTTATTTAATATTTAATTACTTTATGTAATTATTTATTTAATCACTTATTTAAATAAAAAATAGTATTTTATTTGATTTCTTATTTAGATATTTCATTAATCAATTATCGTAATTGGTTGTGTATATAATTATTTATTTTAAACACTTACTCAAATAAAAAACTAATATTTAATTTACTTTCTTCTTTAAATATTTCATTAATTAATAATCTTAATTGGATATTTTAATCATTAGCTTATTTGATTTTGTTTAAATATTATTTCATATTTCATTACCTTATTTAATTATTATTTTAATCATTTACTTAATTAAAAATTAATATTTAATTTAATTTCTCGTTGAAATATTTTTTAGTTACCTTAATTGGTTATGTATACTTAATTACTTTATTTAATTATTTATTTAATCACTTGTTTAAATAAAAAATTTATATTTAATTTAATTTCTTATTTAAATATTTCATTAATTAATAATCTTAATTAATTAATAATCTTAATTGTAATTATAAAAGAAATTAAATGTACAATATTGATATAAAATTTACAATTATTTCATAATTACAAAATAAATTAAATGTACAATCTTACAAAATGAAATTCACAGTTATTTTAATTGTTTATTTAATTATTTATTCTAATTGTTTGTGTATATTATTTATTTAATATTTATTTTGTTTATTTAATTATTTATTTACTTTATTCAGTCACAGTTCTATTGAAAGGTCGATCGACATCGTTTGGCTTTCAAGGCCAAAGTAATAAGGAATCAATAACCTGGTTGAAAAATTGCATGTCCTTCAACGAATAGAAGGACCATATGAATGATTAACGGAGTATGGCTATATGTTCCTCATTGAGTCTCTCCAATACCGATACAACGTAACTTTTTCGACAATGAGCTCTCATGATATTGTCTAGGTGGGACTCCATTATGCAAAATTAATACATGTTAAAAACATTTATAAGAAATTATTAACATTTATCATATTTTAAAATTTAACAAATCAAATTACATACATTAGTACGTAAGAAATAAAATCATTTTCTCGCACATTAAAAAGAGTAAATAAAAATTAAATAATACATAAATTGAATTAAATTTAAAGCAAAAAAATAAAAATAAAAAAATGAAAATGAAAAATAAATTATGGAAACGAATTAAATTAGAAATTTTTTTAAAAATTATAAGATTCTTGCAAAAAAAAAAAAGAAAAAAAAAGAGGTCTTGGCCGGGCCAGCCCTCCGGACCCCGACCATGGTCCGTTACGGATTGTACGATGGTCCGAATCCGGATACTCCAGACCCGGTTCGACGAGAACTCACCGCTCATCGAAAACTCCATTTCCGACGAATTTCAATCCTTTTTTTCATTTTTCTGGGTCATTTCAGCCTCAAATTCAATATTTTCTTCCATTTTAACTACAAATAAATTTCAAAATTTGTTTTTAACTCATAATATATTCAATAAACAAATTTTTAAATTTCAAACGTTAACAGCAACAAAAAAAATTTCAATGAAGAATAAGAAAAAAGCTAAACCCTTTGAAAAATGGCGATGCTCTGATCTGGGTCGTTCGGTGTCAGTAATGAGATTTTGCTTTTTCATTTTTTCTCTTCTTTTCCTCTTCTCTTCTTTTTATTTGAGGGTACTTTTGACTATTTGCCTTTTGTTTGCATTTTCAACATTTGTTTTTTTTTTTTTTTTTTTTCCCTTTTTCTTTTTTTTTTTTGGGGGTTTTTTTTGCTTTTTTCCTTTTTTTTTCATTTTTAAAATTTTTTTTTTTTTTTTTTTCCCTTTTTCTTTTTTTTTTTTGGGGGTTTTTTTTGCTTTTTTCCTTTTTTTTTCATTTTTAAAATTTTTTTTTTTTTTTTTTTTTGTCAAAAGCCGTTTTGAAAAAATGGCCGGGGCAACCGACCTTTGGCTACTATTTCCTCAATTTCAAATAGCATATAAGCTTGGATGCGAGTCTTGGGTTGGATGTAAGAGTTGGCCCATACTTAACATTCAAATATCCAATAATTTTATGGAAAAATTACACATCTACTACACAATAAAAATTGCATTTCAAGGAAATTTGTTTCTCATTTTTTAAAAAATGAGGATGAAAAATATAGTCGTTATGGGCTTCACACAAGAGATAGAAATTTAAATTTGATGACTTGATGTGATGAATAACGATCATATTTTTTATTTTAATGAGAAAAAATGGATAGCAAACAGGCCCTAACAATCATGTTAAAATATTTCAAAATTCAAGTATTAAATCAAAATTTTAAAACTAATAAATAATATTATAAAATTAAATTAATCCATTTACCCATCCTATCCACACCGTCAAACCCTAAACAAATTTTCACTTCTTTCTCACACACACTCTCTCTATCACAACGCCTCACTTATTCTCTCTCTCTCAACCACCGGAAAGGAGGAGCACAGCTGCGGTGCTAACATTGCTGTGGTAGTGTGAGTGACGTAGTTGTGGTGACGCTCACGCCATTGCCCATAGTGGCCGCTTCGCAGTGCTGCAACTCCGCTTGCGGCACTGATCGGTTGTTATACCGCTGCGCGCAACGAGGACCTTTAAGATTGGGAGGTGGCGCCACCGGTGTTGGTGGAAACGGTATGGATTTTCGATTTGGGTAGCATTTTGAGCGATTTGGGGTGGACCTTTTGGGAGGTGGCGGCTGAGCCTCTGAAGCATCAGCCGCCGCTTGCACACACGTCCCGGCTCATCTCCGAATCCAGGTGCAGGAGAATTTTCAAAATTAACTCGTCCGTTAACAGGGCATTTATCAGATCATTTCCCCTCATTTTTTCTCAATAATTTATGGATTTCTAACATTTTTTCCTCTAATTGTGTGTGTATGAAAACTAGATCAAATCCCTTCAATGTTTTTTTTTTCAACATTATGGGATTTTTGCCCTTTCTTGAATAATTATATGTTTAAAATCTATGGAGAGACAATATAGATCTATTTGGTATTTTCTTGCGGACATATGCAATGTGTGTGTGGAAATTAGGACAGCAGGTGGAGTATGCTAATATAGAGTGAATGGCTGGTAAAAAATAGAGTTTTAAATAAAGTTTTGGCAGCCAATTGCAGGGGGTTTTCTGTTTTCAATCCTTGAAACTTTCATTATAGTGCATGTCTATAATCTGAACTTCGTTGCGTCCATACATATTCTTTCTTTTGCAGTAATCACAAAGAATAATGGGTTTCTTGTAGTTTCTTACTTTCTTCTGTATAGTAATTTTCTTTTGTTTTTCCCCTATGCAAATCTGGAAACATATATTGTTCTCGTTGATTTGCCTGCCATTTCTTCAGATGATATGCTTAGCTATTATAAAAAAATTTTGCCCGAGAAATCTCGCATGATCTGTTCCTACCATATTGCGGTTAAAGGTTTTGCTGCTAGATTATCACTTGGGGAAGTGAAGACAATGGAAAAGATTCCTGGATTCATCTCAGCCCGAGTGCAAGATGTAGCATGAATTAATTTTTCCAATGGTGACTGACCCCACATGACAGTGGAGAAGCAGTAAAATCTTTTAAAAGCAAAAATAATGCCTACCAGCTTTGCTCCAGTTTGTTCAACCAGTTTGGCTACAATAGTGTGAAAGCTCCTCCACCAAAATAAACAATTAACTGCCTCATTCTTTCTTTTAAAGTAGTGTAGAATTTCAGAATCATGGAAAATCTTTTCATTCAACGCAAACCATAATTGAATCCTCACGGAGTACTTAGTAGAGGTCCATGTAATTGATCTTTCAATAATTAAATCGCTTCTGACTGTAGCTGATCAGCTAAATGTCACCTTATAGGTCAACTTCTGGTTCAGCTTAAAAAATCGAAATCTGTTGGACTTGACACTTAAATTAATACATAGTTGGAGGGTCAATTACTAAAGAGTAAGCTGAATTGGCCTCACCAACGTTAGTAACTATCTTGGAATATATTTGACTTGTGTATCCAAGAATGATCTTAAATGAAAGATAGTTTAGTTGAGTTTTAGTTATGCTGGATATATTCAAATCGTCAAAAATCCGGTTCACAATAATTTTGACTTGCTGGTTCGTGTAATTTAAGCCAAACAAATAACGTATGCACTCTTTAGGTTAAATATCATAACCTAATCCTAGATCAGTAGCTTTTGATAGGTTCACATGACCAGAATCGATAGCAAAAGTATTTGTCGGTTGCAGAGTTTGGTCTTCAATTGGGTTATTGACGAGGTTCATTGGATTAGCAGAAGTTATAATCGTAGACTTAATCATTGCAGGAGACCAATTGGGGTGTGCACTTTTAAACAATGCTCCGAGGCTGCTTAGGTGAGTGGTCATTGAAATTCCCAAATTCATGTTGAATATAGATTCAGTACTATTTTTTCGACTTGAGCGTTTCAGGCTGTAACAATGCTGACGACAGAGCCAATAATGTAGGGTTTAAGGATTCCAAAGTTAGGCGGATTAGGACCCCTGCCTGAAAAATAAGCAATCGATGGAGTCCAATCATCTCTAATAATAGTTCATTCGAATGAAATTGAAGCTGTCAGAGTAGTCAATGAATTAATATATGCTTTCACTTTTGGTCCATTGACGTAATTGATACAAACTGCAGGAAGAAAATGAGCCTTTAAATTTATACTGTAGCCTTCAAGCTTCTCGTTCATGAGAATCATGGCTGCACCACCAGCGTTCCTGATTGGTTCATCTGTTTCAATTTTCTCTATCCTACCCGTTTCACAAAATACTATTTTTCCTATGACATCGATATTTGTAATAGATGCTAGTATGCAAAAAGCTGAAATCCATAGGTAGACGAGAGATACTAGCAGTCGATCCAAGGTAGAGGAGAAATAATTTCATTGGAGCGAAATCCATAGGCTGAAAAACTAACTCTCCATCTAGTTCTTCATTGTTTCCTAGCGCAACAGTTGCTCTAATCCTTCTGCCAATGTTGTTTACACCCACATTGAGTATCCACGGAGCACCATTTTGTACACTACAAAACTCTGACCCATAATTTCCAGCCGCATTGCTTACAAAAATGCCCTTTTCAATTGCTTGAAATGCACTTTTTGCGATATTGTTGTCAAAAAAAGTTTATACCCAAGCAGTTAAGGGAAATAGAAATCACATCTAACCCGTCATAAACTGCAGCTTCCATTACGGCCACAATGTCAGTTTTCGAATAGCTATCTGTATTAATTTTATACATAACCAAGTGAGCAAGCGACGCTATCCCCGTGGCCCTTCCATTTGCATTGTCAATGGAACTGGGATACCATTGGATGAGTTTGGCCATGGCACGCACACTGCTAGCATTGTGTAGGGAATTTTGTTCTAGGTGCGAATTTGTTTGTCAATGCAAATGGAACGGCTGCAGGGATAGCGTTGCTTGCTCACTTAACTATGTATAAAATTAATATAGATAGTTATTAGAAAACTGATGTTGTGTCGAAAATGGACAGTGTGGCTGCAATGGAAGTTGCATTTTATGATGGGGTGGATGTGATTTCTTTTTCCCTTAACCGCTCGGGTATAGACTTTTTCGACAACAATATCTCAATAGGTGAATTTCGAGCAATTGAAAATGGCATTTTTGTGAGCGCCGCGACTAGAAATTATGGGCCAGAGTTTTGTACTGTGGTGCTTCGTGGATATTGTGGGTGCAAACACCATTGACAAAAAGATTAGAGCAACTGTTGTGCTGGGAAACAATGAAGAGCTAGATGGAGAGTCGGCTTTTCAGCTTATGGATTTCGCTCCAATTTAATTATCTCTCGTCTACCTTTGATCAACTGCTAGTAACACAATTTGCAGACTAGTATCTCTTGCAAACATCGATGTCAGTGGGGAAAATAGTGTTTGGTGAACGGGTAGGATAAGGAGAATTGAGACAGGTGAAGCAATCAGGAACGTTGTTGTGCCGTTATGATTCTCATAAACGAGGAGTTCGAAGGCTACAGTATAAATTAAAAGGCTTATTTGCTTTCTGCAGTTTTTATCAATTATGTCGATGGATTAAAAGTGAAAACATATATCAATTCATCGGCTACTCCGACAGTTTCAATTTCTTTCGAAGCAACTATTATAAGAGATGATTAGGTTCCATAGGTTGCTTATTTTTCAGGTAAGGGTCCTAATCAGTCTAGTTTTGAAATCCTTAAACCCTACATTATTGGCCCTTGGCGTTAAACATTGTTGCAGCCTGGAATGTTCCGGTCGAAAAGATAGTAATAAAATCTATAATCAACATGAATACGGGAACCTCAATGGCCACTCACTTGAGCAAATGTCGCAGCATTGGTCAAAAGTGCACACCCCAATTGGTCCTCTGCAATGATTAAGTCTATGATTATGATCACGGCTAATCTTATGAACCTCGCTAATAACCCAATTGAAGATCAAGCTCTACAATCGATAAATATTTTTGCTATCGTTTTTTGTCACGTGAACCCATCAGAAGCTATTGATCTTGGATTAGTTTATGATATTCAACCTGAAGAGTACATACATTATTTGTTTGACTTGAATTACATGTACCAGTAGGTCAAAATTATTGTGAAACGGATTGTTGATGGTTTGAATATATCCAACGTACTTAAAATTTAACTAAACTATCCTTCATTTTGCATTGTTCTTGGATACACATGTCAGACATATTTCAGGACAGTTAATAACATTGGTGATGCTAATTCAGTTTGCTCTATAGTAATTGACCCTCAACTGGGTATTAATTTGAGTGTTGAGTCTAGCAGACTTTGATTTTTTAAATTGAAACAGGAGTAGACATTTAAGGTGACATTCAATCGATCAGCCACGGTCAGAAGCGATTCAATTGTTGAAGGATCCCTTACATGGACCTTTGGTAAGTACTCCATGAGGATTCCAAATTGTGATTTTCGTTGAATAGAAGGGTTTTTCCATGATTTGGAAATCCTACATTACCTTAAATGAACGAGGCAGTTATTGTTTATTTTGGTGGAGGGGCCTTCATCAGTATTCCACTAAAAGGTTGAGTTTCGATGAGTCGCTTCTCTAAGTCTTCAAGATTCAATGTGCCCAGGAGGCCGAGGATAATGATGAGGTTTTATTTCTTTTATTGATTAACATTTTTTTGTAAATAACCTGTCTTTGTTACGTGTATTATTGCCAAAAAAATGAGGGATTGAAGTTTTTCTTTAAATTTTATTTAACCTTCAGTTTTTCAATTGTTTCGAATGACTTGCGTATTATATTTAACTCGTATGAAATTTTTTATAATAGATTGCAGTGTTGGCATTTTAATTTCTATGTAAAGGGATTAATATATAATGCACATTTCTTAATAAGGGGATATATTTTGTTGTTTGGTCATATTGGGTGAACTTTTATGATGTTGTGTAATAATTTTGTATGTATGATTTTGGTAAAATGATGTCACTTTTGCTAGAAAATTTTGGAAAATGAAAGAGATGATATTCTGCAATTTATATTGATATTTCATTCTCTATAGTTTCTCTAATTATGTTTGGGAAATGGATTTTGCTAATATGACTTTATTCAAAAATCTCTACTGCATTCCCTAAGTTACCTTAAATGGAAATGAAGTGTTAGTGATTTTGTGCATCAGTTAGATCTCTGTTTGTTAATTCGGCAATATCTATTATGCCACTTGAAGCCTTTCTAATATCACTTGTGTATATACCAATATTTTTTTGTTGATCATGTGTCCAAACTCTATTTTGGGTAATAATGATTTGTCTTACAGTTTGTGAAGGTGCCCTGAGGTTTTCCTTTTAAAATTGAAGATCATCCGGGACAACAAACCATAACTCTAACTAGGTAATATCAGGGTGTACTATCAGTTCGAAGTTCACATACCTGACCTTGTAACTGGTGAGGAGACCGATGATGAGTACATGATCGGCAAAGACAACAAAGAATACGTTACTTGGCTAAAGAACCTCAAGAAGTTCGTTGAGTCATGAACACCAAAAAGAGATGTCCAGAGATTGTAGGAGTTGGAAGATATGAAAAAGAGATTGCAGGAGATTTAGGAAGAAGCAAGAGCACTGCGAGATCTGCTTGCTAAAGTGGAGAAACAGATGGGCGGGGCTCAATGTCTTTTTGTTACTCACTCTAAGCAATTGTTCCTATATATATTTGATATTATATATAGGCATGTTTTTAAAATTCTGTATTTTGGCTTCATTTGCTTTTTAATATTATATTATATATATGTATCCTACATATATAAAAGAGTGAAAGAGTTGGTTGGACACGTGGCACAAAAATATATCGTTGTGCACTTATTTTTATTTATTTATTTTTATTTTTTATTTTTTTTGGTTGAAAACGGCATGGGCAGTCAGATGTGACGAGAACGGAGCTGATTTCAAACCGGACTCCACTGAATCCAGCCTTGTTCCAATCCTCAGCAAGCAATCATACTCTCTCTAAGGTATTTATAATTGGGTATCCTCGGACCTCAGCTTTGTATAGTTTTGAAAATAGTAGGGTATTTAGAATTTAATTGGTAAGTTGTACAATTTTGAAGATACGGGGGTGATATTGGTTTCGTGTTTGGCATTTAAATATGAATTTTTAAATGGAGTTATATTGGTGATTGATTTATTTATTGTCTACACATTATAATAAGATTGATGAATTCTGGGTTGAAACAGTAAGTAAAATTTTCTAATATGCAACTTTGAAATTGTCATGAACATCAGGGAGATTTATGAAATTTACCCTTTTTCTTATTATATGGCAACTATTTATTTTGAACTAATATATATTGAGTAAAAAAATGCAATGCTGTAGATTTTTAGGGTTTCGTATTCTTGATACAAGGAGGACATCTTATTCGCAAAAAAGCCAACTGGTCTTTCGATCCAGAACAACTAGGAGTCGAGTGGCCCTTATTACTGGATTGAAGTTTCTTTTTCTATCCTCTCATCCAAAAGAAAGAAAAAAGAGTTGGAATTGAAATCGTGTTCTTTTATTAGCAACGTTCTTTTTTTTGGGCCTTGTTGAAACTTCCCCTTGTGTGACTATTTATGCAAGCTATATATGAAAGATGATAATATGTTATTTAAGAACTAATGAAGCTTGACCAATGATCCTTCCTACATGTTATACTTTATTATATGTCTACCACCAATTATCTTAATGCTAAAAAATGTTAAGAAAAAATCTTTTGCCTCCTGTTGTAAAAAGTGCAATGCACTAATTTATTATTATAGAAATAATGATGTTCAACCAATCATTTTGGTTATTACTTTGATAGTTTTGTTACTCGTGTTTCTTGTACCCTTCTTTTATACTTCTATTTTTGTTTTGTCAATATTTTAGGGAATAATATTGAACCTGTTTTTGAAGTACTTATATGCACATTTATACTGTATTATTTTTACAGGGGAGATATCCATAGAGATGGTGATCACCACCGGGCTGTTCGTGTGTGGATATTTTCTGAGGGCACACAAGAACTACTACTTCAGCAACGTGCTGAATGCAAAGATTCATGGCCTGGTCTGTGGGGTATTCGCAGCAGAATCGACATGCAATAACAATGCAACCATCACCTCCATTTCTGTATTTATCCATTTTCACACACAACTTCACTCCATCCACACTATCATTGCAACAACTTCTCATATCTTCTTCCCCGTGCCTTCTTTCTGCAATTTTCGATTTCTTTGTCTATTCTGGTAACTAAATGTTAATTTATTCCAAATCGTCCAGCTTCTTTTCCAATTATTGATTTAAAGTTCAAAATTTTTTCCCAAATCTCATGCAATCAGTCCTCTAGTTCTTGATTTAATGTTGAAATTGCATGCTTCATTGTCATATAGCTCACCACTCTTTTTCTGTTTCGCAATTCATTGGAAAATTACACACGCACACTTATATATTTATACACACGCGCTCGCTTCATATGAGTTGAATTTCCTCCACTGAAATATTTTAAGTTCGAATCCTTGACTCTTGTTCAGCAGCTCTCCTCTGTCTTCTTCATATTTTTTTGAGTTTATTCATTGTTTGATTTCACAAACATTTTATATTGATTAATTTTTGTTTTGCATCTAATAGTTCACGTCTTGATATTTTCCTGAAAATGGTAGTTTCTTGATAAATGAAAATTGTTGTATCTTAAATTAGAGTTGCTAAGTTAATTTTCAATTGATTGCTCTCTACTTTTATTATTTATTTGTTTTTGGGCGGGTGGGTGAGTGGGTGGGGTTGTGGTAGTTAGGGAGGGAGAGAGGAGTTAAAATTTCAAACCTTGATTTGATAAATTATGACAAATGATATCTAGATTTCCTGTATGATCTGGTCATTTATTTTATTAATGTATTTGTTTGTAAATATATGTTCATATAGATGTTAGTGATTTTTGGGTTATGACTTTACACAACCATCACCTCCATTTCACTATTTCTCCATTTTCATGCATAACTTCACTTCATCCACGCTAACATTGCAGTAACTTCTCATTTCTTCTTCTCCATGCCTTCTCCAATTTTCGATTTTGGTAACTAAATTTTAATTTTTCCCAAATCTTACAGCTTCTTGTCCAGTAGTTGATTTAATGTTTCCAATTTTTTTTCCAAATCTCGTGCACGAGTTGGCATCAAGATACGGTCTACTGTTAGCACATGGACTTGATGAAATCGAGCAGAATATGGAGGCAGTTCGGAACTCCATCACGGACCTTAATCGGTTTGGTAAAGTGTTTAAGCTTGCTGCGTTTAGCCCCTTTGATTCTGTTCTTGATGCGCTCAATCAATGCAATGCCGTCTCCAAAGGCAAAACAATGCTCAAGAAATAATTATTTTAAAACTGACTTTTATAATTATAAGTAAACGTGTTAGTTAAGCTTAGGCAACAATGCTTTTGATTACAGAGAGAATCACTATTTCTTCAAGTGTTTGCTTTTTGTCATGAAATTTTGTAACTTTGTTCAATTATTAGAATAATAATGAGCTAAATTAATGATGGGTTTTGAATTAGATACGTTTGAATTCTGAATACACAATAATGACTAGCCTTCCAGGTTAAAGATGTGGTTTTGATTCCCTCTAGCAGCATATATCCTTTTTTCTCTTCAATTTTTTGGCCTAATATGAGCATGGTGCAGATCGGGTTCTTGCCTGTGACCTTCATTCTAGTCAGTACATGCGATATTTTGACATTCCAGTGAATCATGTACATTGTCAAGTAAAAGGCCTTGAGATGTTTGTTCCCATGACATATACAGGACCTAACACTGGCATAATTTCCGTGAGTTTTGGTGCAATATTAACCGAAGAAATTTTGAAAGCTGATGATTAGAAGATTGGCGAATGGGGCTGACTTAATTGTCTATATATTGAATTTCTATTTGCAATCTTACTTCATTGTTCACTTATTTTGGAATTATTCTTTTTATTATTATTTTTCTTTGGAATGTTTGCAAGTAGCCTGTCATACTTGATTACCTTGCCACCAAGGCCATATGTTCTGATGATCTTGTTGTGGTCTCACCGGATGTTGGCGGGGTTGCTGGAGCAAGAGATTTTGCCAAAAAGTGGTCTGATTCACCTCTTGCAATTGTTGATAAAAGGTTTCATGCACATAATGTTGCTGAGGTGAAGTCCTCGAAGCTGAATGTATCTATTAGTTATTTGATTATTCGAGTCTTTCAATCACATAATATCTTAGCATTGATTGAAAAACTTGGTCGTTTGATTACCCACAAGTGAACAGGATCGTGAACAAGTAATAGAGTGGTGTGTAGACTGTTGAACCCACGAGGACTATGTGTTTGATCGAGTTAAAGCTAATGATTCCCTTAATCGAATAGCAAGGTCGAGTTGTAACTAACACTATTAAATCTATCAACTAAATAGAAAGCAAAGTAAAAGTTTATCAAATTTGCAAGAAGTATTGTTAAGATGTGGAATCCCCCTTGCTACTCCATTTTAGTTCGACAATTTAAACTGACAATTTGAAATCTGTTGGTCAATGTTCCTATTTTATTTGAAAGTCTCTCTCGATAGCAATTAGATATAATCTTACACGTGATTTTCATATATTTCTATGAAAAATACGAACGTACAAGAAAGCATTAAACGAGTTAGAACACTTACAAACACCATGTGAAGCATAGAGATATATCTCTATCATCTATCAAACTTCACAATATTTATTATTATGTGCTAACGATTTTATTACATATCTGAATGGTAATAAAATTCACAAACAATTCAAGTAATGGCCAATTAATTGAAAAGCAAAGGAACCACTAATAAATATCCAAACAGATGAACAAATTATTGTCAATCTAATTATTAAAACTAAAAATTCATAACAAGGCTTCATAACATCTTAACAATAAAGAAATTAGCCAAGCCCCTCGGGGCACAGCTCAACTGGTGGATCAATCAACATTGGATTGCTTCCAGCGGCAGGGTGGAGAGTTCGATTTCTGGTGGGAACCTGTGGCCAAAAATTTGGTATGGAACAATCACTGTGGAGGAGGGTCTCTTGTGCGCAGAAGTGTACAGTCAATGGGGGGAACCTGTGATCCAGTTGAGGCATATCCCGCGATTTACCTCCTCCAAGGTTCTAGGGGCATGGGTCTTGAAGGTCTAGAATTTAGTCTGGTGTAAGCTGAGATACCTAGATAAAAAAAAAAAAAAAAAAAAAAAATAAAAAAACATAGAAAAAAAAAAAAAAAAAAAAAAAAATTAGCCACACATGATGTCGGAATTAAACAAATAAAGTTTGAACGACATCATCGAGTAATTGACGAAGCGTAATTAATTTCCAAAGTGAGGTTGCCGTGGTCACGTCTTTGTCATCTTCGTGTTTGCCTCATCTTCCGTCCAAATTTGTTTGTGTAATTCTCCCTTTTCCTCTCTGTCTAGGCGTATATATATGTATATATATGTCAACCAGCACCCTAAATTCTTGTCTTTTTGTCTCTCCAAAGCTGCCAATGTTTGTGTAAATGTATATATTGCAGCCCACCTTTTTCTTACTTTCCTCCCACTGCCGAATTCTCCCAGAAACTGCCCTTTTATTGTGTTTTTATATAACTAATTCAGTCTCGTTTTTCCAAGTCTCACAGCAGAGGTCTGTCTTCCAAATTTTGTACAGGCGGCAACATTTTTTCTTTAATCCAACCACCGCCGTTTTTGTTTCTTAATGTATATATTTCCAGCAGGCAGCTCGTTTTCCCTTCTTCTTTAAATTGTCTGCTCCTTCCTTCTTGTACGTTTATGTATGTTATCTCCTCGTGGCTGCCTCCAATGTATGTATAAATATATGAACCAGCCTCTTTTTCAATTTTCCCTAGCTGCCGTTTTTTTCCCTTCTCTCAAGCAGCCGCTAATTTTTTTTTCTCCCTTCCTCGTGTTTATGTAATTGTGTATATATATACACACACCAAAGAATCCAGCCCATTTTCTTTTCATTCATATTCCCGATCCAATTGCAAAGGCTCAATTTGATTAATGCCCTTTTTAAAATATGCCACCAACTGTCTGAGTAAGCTAATTTAGCCCTTGATAAAAAAAAATTGTGCACTCCTATCCTTCTAATTCAATTCACGTCCTTCAACTTTTCAAAGTGTGGAATATTATCTCCAATTATTCATCCAACGGCCAATTTATCCTTCCAAATGCTTCAAAAACGAGTTAAACAACAACGAAAAATAACCCAAATTAAATAGAAATAATAATTTGACGACATAAAAATTTAATGATGTGGCATAATAAGTGCACAAAATGCACTTATCAATAGCTTTAAGAAAGAAAAAGGAACTAGATGTTTGTTCATCATATTGTCCAATCTTCCATGCTAAACATGGACATACAATTTACTTTATACATCCCTTATGCATCTTTGCGTTATAACTAAACATGCACATACAATCTACTTTATATATCCCTTATGCATCTTTGCATAATTTCAGGGATGAAGCTGTTGAAGTAGAGACCATATTGGATACATTACCAAATCTTGAACAGTAACCTTCTAACCCCAAAGTGGCTATGCCACGCGTTTTTTAGAACGTGATTTGTATTCGCAAGTGTACGGTGTCAAGTTTTGTAATATAGTAATGAAGTAAAATGAGTCGAAGATATAAGGATTGATTTTCGAATCCTATTGAGTACTATAATTATTTTAGCTTTCTCTTTATTTAGAAAAATCAAATTTTTGAAATGTCTTTATACTAATCTAATGCAAATAGGATGAACAATGCAAATAACAAAGGCAAATTGTGAAGTTTTTATCAAATTATGAAAGCCTGGGGAATGATTTCACCGTACTATCAACAATGTTTTTCAACCTCTATAGTTATTTCTATCAATTTTTTCCTTTCAAAATTTCTAGGCAAGAACCCTAAATTAATCATATTCCCTCTCTCGAGTACTGAATAGAACTTATTTCTGTATTTCAATTTCAATATCTCTATTCGAAATTGAAAATAAACAAATCATCACGCACATAGTTCTTAAGTGGAATAAGCCTCAAAGATTTCGTACCTTCTCTTGAAGCATATAAAATTTAGATTATGTTGTTCTTAGATCACGCACAAATTCCATTTTCTCGAGTGCCGAAGTTTAAAGCTTTAAATCATTCAATTATTGATAAGGTAATTGACAACATTATGTGAGAATCAATATAAATAAATTGACGGAAAAATCAAAGAAATAACTACGTTAGAATCAAAACACGTGACAAATAGGTTACATCAAACTCTAGATTTGAAGTTTTAGTACATCATTTAGATGAACGACATGATTAAATTGAAAGGAAAGAACATGGAGAAGAAAAAGAATAAGAAAAACTCGTTTTGTCGTTGATTTCTCCTCCCAAAGGTCGTTGATTCTCTCTCAATCAATTTCTGTTTTCCTTTGCCTCCTTGTGCCGTCTCCCCCCTTTCTTTTGGTCTTCAAGTCTGTATTTATTGTCCCTTAAGATTGCAAGACGGGTTAAGGGTGGATTGTGTCGAGATATATTTTTAAAATTCGCATTCTCCCTTTTTTCGTTGGTGACGCCATGATGGAGTATGTGCCGGCACTGCAGCGCCAGCTTTTTTGCTTCTTCGCGTATTGCTGGGCGCTACGGCTCCATTTGCTCGCCTTTGTGCCTTTATGGGTGCCTAGGCACCTTATCACGGCGCCGTGGTGCCCGCAATACTGCCTTCCCTTGTGTTGCCATTTTCTTGCCTCTTTTCTATCCCATTCTTCTCTCATTTCACTTCCCTTTCACGTCCACTCCCATGATCAACTCTTTGGCTTCACTCCAAGATCCGAACAATGGCATTTTTCTCCAAATTTGTCCAAACTACAAAATGACACAAACACTCCCATCTAAACGTTCACAAGTGCTCAAAAACAAACCAAAAACCATGATTTAGAGGTACTAGATCGACGAGTAAATTACACTCATTGGGCTAATTTTATGCATTATGAAATTCATATGTGACTATAACATTTGTAGTGCTTATTGGACCTTTTCTTGTTATGATCTTGAATGAATGGACTTTGTCGATCATTTAACTTCATTAAAGCTCTTCTTTCCGATGTATACTGGAACTTACAGATTCTTCAGAAGACTAGTAATAAAGTTCAAGTGAATCTTCAGGTATATGTATTGGTCCTCAAGCCAGTGTTTCAAAACTGATTATCTACCACATCTTGAGGTCCATATAATAGTTCGTATTTGCTTTTGCGAGCTGTTCATAAATAGCAATGAATCTTTTGCCTTTGCTTTTATATTTCAGTGTTGCCTCTCTTAATATTTATGCTAATTTCTTCCTTCCCCACTGCAGGTTGATGCAGTAGATCCAAAAAGCCAACATAAGGGAAAGCTTGAGACAGAGAGCTTGTTGGAATCACAAGCCGTAAATTATACATCTCTTAGGCCAGTTAACATTTATGGACCAGTGAACTACAATCTTGTTGAAGAATGGTTCTTCCACCATTTCAAAGCAGGTCGCCCTTTTCCAATTCCCAATTCAAGAATGCATCACAACTTGGTCATGTAAAGGTTGGTGAAGATTTCAACAATTCTAACAAAATCCAAAACTAAGTTTCAGAAGTGCAAACCATTTATTATTTATGAGATGATATGATATAGCTTAGATAACTATAAATCTTTTCTAGATTCGGTGTTTTTTTGGGTGTACCAATAAGGTTAAGAGGGAGTCTTGGAGACTGGTCACTTGACGTGCTAGGCTTTACAGTGCTGAGAGTGGAGCCGCTGAAAGGAAAAATGTCTGTAAGTGGTTCTAAGAATGTTATGATGGATGTCTGGTCATACTAGAAGGGATAACATAAGAAAGTAAAATATATGCCAACAAGTGACGATGGTATAAATTTGGGATAAATTGAAGAAATGAAGCTTAGGTGATTTGAATATGTTGAACTTAAGGAATCTTTCTCATTAGAATGATTGATTTGATGGAATAGGTTAGAAAATGGAAATGTGGACCAAAATTCATATGCTCCATTGTGGTTGTAGGAATTGAATTGCATTGGCTCTCCCCATAGAAGCGGCAATGTGTTGATCGAGGTGTGGTTGAATATCAGTTTAGTTGTATATATGGAAAAGGATATATTTAAACGAAATTGATAATAATGTAATTATATAACGTTTTCAAAATATGAAAACACGTTGAGAAAAATTATAATTATTTATAATTATTTTTGAACAAAATATTCTGGCTTTACCACTGCCTACATTGGAAATTAATTTTTTATATTTCCACTATGCATGCCTGTTAATTCCTAACAATGTTGATGTTAAAATTAATGTACAATGGCTTGTCAATTAAACCAACGTGCATCTTTCATTGCTCGTATCAATAACTTCGTCAAACGACCGGTGGATGATGGTTAGTATTTTCAGTGGTTGCTTGGAATTCTTACACCTTACATTGAGAAGTTTACAATACATTGATGCTAGTATTTGAAATGAGTTCATGTCGTGTACGATTGTATACAATATAGACGTCAACAAGCGAAGCCTCTATTTGGTGAGGATTAAAATAAGCTTACCCAGTCTTTGGGTGAACCCAATCGATTCTGAGCTTATTTTAATGGTCTGTACATTTGTGAATTTTAACACAGACAAACTAAATATTATGTAGTCAATGATATTTGCGGTTGAGCTACTGGTTCTTATAACGTTGTTAAAAACATGATATAATTTAATATTTAGAAAATGTAGTCATGGTAGCTCGCAAACTGGGCTTGAGCGGCTATAATAAGAAACTCCAAATTATATGGCTCAGTTGCTTTTAGGGATGTCAATTGAGCTCGTCGGTTCGGTTCGGAAAAAGCCCGAGCCGGCTTTGCACCGAGCCAAAATTTGGGTCGAGCCCCATTTTGAGGTTCCACGTTTAACTCGAGCTGGCCCGTGTGGCTCGTCGGCTCGGGCTCGGGCCTTTGAAAAAAAAAAAAAAAAGGTAGCAAGCGCTGCGTTAAAATTTGCTGCGGCCTTATTTGCTGCTGAGCCATTGTTTATATTTATATAATAAAAATGAAAATAAAAAAAGAGAGAAAATCAAGCTGGCCCAGCTCGGGCTCGGCTCGCTAAGGCTCGAGCCGAAAGCTTGGGTCGAGCCCTTTTTTTTGCCAAACTTTTGCTCGGCTCGGCTCGGACTCAAAAAAAGCTCGTTTTATTTTACTCGAGCCTTGAGTTTTAGCTCGCGAGTCGAGCTCGAGCCTTGAGTTTCGACTCGCGAGTCGACTTGACTCGACTCGTTGACATCATTTTCTCTCTTTCTCTCATTTTGACTTTTGGCATGTTTTCTACTTTTCTTGATTAATTTTATTTTTTTATGACTGACGATGCTCGCCAACAGTTTATCTTTTACAAATGTAAATTTGATGCTTAGTTGTCATGATTAGGATTTTGTTTTGTATTTATATTTTTAAGATAATCAACTTTTGTTGTGGTGTAAAAAGAATCGATTTAATGTTTGTTATTAAACTTTTGTTTTAATATTACTCAATTTTTCAAAATCAACATTTTACATAAAAGTGATTTATTGTTGTGCTCATACACAATTAGAAAAAAAATTGGACATTGATTATAATGATGTCATTTTATATTTTTAGAAATATGTTAATATTGAAAAATAATTATCTATGCACTGTAGTTATTTAAAATTAAAAAAAATCAATTATATCTCAAAATTTATAAAATTACAAATAAAAGCGTAGTTCATAGAGTAAAAATGAATTTTATTATAGCGAAGTTAAAAATAGAATCTCAAAAGCTTGCTGCCTTTCAATTTTTTAAAATTCACCGAGCAAAAAGCTATTTTTTGACCCCTTTTTCTCAGCTGGGACCCACATGTGAGAGATTTGGTTGACAAATAGTTGGTGCCCAAGGGTAAAAAAAAAAAAAAGAATCGAGAAAAAGTTAATCTGGATTAGCAGATCCCAAGTTATCGAGATCGAAAGATATTGTCTTAAATTGTATTTAGTTGAGTTATTTGGTGAATTTAAAATCTTAAAGGGGTGACATGTGTATAGATCAAGTTTTTGGCAGGATATTAATTGATTTTTATTAAATAAAGATTTTATTTATAAAAAAGGGAGAGATATGATTTATCTTAATTATTATTTATCTTTTTATCGGCCAAAAATTGAGTTTTCTTGTGCATGTGTTTTTGAATATTTTTATATATATATATATAGAAAGAGAGAGAGAGAGGTGCTACAAATACAACACATTTGATAGCACTAGAGGGTGAGGCTAGCGATTAAAATAATTGCAAGTCTCATGTTTGTGAGAGGACTGTAAAAATTACAGCACTTCAACGTTGTACAAACATCATTTTTTATTTTTGGTGGAAAAATTGTTCCAAACAATCGCTAAAAAACAACTTCTAATTGTTTGAGCATCAAAAATTGAGTTCATGAGTGCCTGCAGAGATAATTAGATAGAGTATAATGGAGAGAGAGTTTGTGGATCATTATTTAAAAAATGTTTAATAATTAATTATAATATTAAATAATTAATTATAATTTGAATTGTGAAAAATGAAGCTTAAAATATTGTTTATGAAATGCAAACTTATATTTGTTAGAAAGCAGAGGTAGAGAATAAAAGGTTCCTCTTTATCTTTTAAATATGATTTAAATTAAAAGTTATAATTTATAAAAATAAAATGAAATAATTTCCCACATGATGTTTGATAAGTTTAAAACCTTGAAAAATCAATTTCGAAGGGCTTATAAGTTTACCTTGTCGAAATTCACTTGAGACTTGTTGTAGTTTCAGATAATTTTATACTCAACGATTTTGTAAAAGTTTAGTTTATATATCACATAAACAAAACAAGTAATTGAATTAACATAATATAAGTGACTCAATATGAGATATTATTTAATGGAAAGAAACCCATGTGTTAGTAGATTTTGGATCATCATTTAGGAATCGTAGAGCCTCATTTTTATTGAGAATTTATATTGTAATAGTGATTTTATTTTTTTTATTTTTTTAAGAATGTGATTAAAAAAAATGGCAAACTTTTTTGGGTTTACATGTGAAGCTAATTGGGAGCATGTGTAATTGAAAATAAGTTTAGGAAAAAAATGAATTTTGAAAGAATTGAAATCAAACAGGAGCTTGGTACTCGCTCTGCCCTATAGTGATAGCCTTGTTTCTATTTTCACAAAAATTAAGAAAACATAATTAATATATGTTGAAATTAAAAAAATTATTACCATTTCTCTTAATATATCTCTACATTGAATATAGTTCATGTTTATTGATAACAAGGCACATTAAGAGTGTGTTTGACATTCATTTTTAAGGAAAAATGAATTTTAGAATAGTAAATTAATGAAGAAAGTGTGGATGAAAAGTTTTTAATTTACATATAATATTATTTTAATGAAGAATGTTTAGTTGAAAAGAAGATAAAGAAAAATGCATTTTGAGAAAAATTGAAATCAAATGGGCCCTAAATAAGAGTATATTAGAAAATTAAGACATTAATTATATTTTTAACAAGGAAAATAACAAATAATTTCGGGACAACAAAAAAAGGAAAACAGACCTTTCTTCGTGGAACGAAGAGAACATAAATCACTGACCTAACGTCAATTGCAAAATCAAAATGATTTAGATTGTGTGTCAAACGAAGCAAGTGACGTGGCATGTTTGTGTACAAATTTTTTTGGCACCTAAGCACGTTTATGATGAGGTGGACAGTTTTTGCAATAATAATGCTACTTGTACAAATTTGAGTTATAAAATGGATTGACAAAGACATGGGTACGCTTGAGATCCATTCTTCGGGACGGTTGTGATTTTGCAAGAACCAAGTGAGAGAAACTGAACTGCAATAAAAAAACACAGTTTATTAACGATGTGACCCATGTTTAGGATGCTGTTAGTTGATTGAGTACACTTGATTTTCTTTGCTTTTACTCTTTGACCACAATAATGATTTCATTGCTTAATTAATTAAATTTTTTTTTCTCTTCTATCAATCGATCTAAATTGAGGTTTTGCCCCTTGGAAATTATTATTTGAATTTTTATATATACTTATTTTCAATCATACATTTACAAAATAAAACATTTTATACGTAAGTTCAAAATTTTTCCCACTTCTAAATTACATATTTTTCTAAAAAATACTATTCAAAATAATGTTTTAACTAAATAATGCCACCAAACAGGGCTAATTGTTTAATTCAACCATGATCCCACCTAATTTTAACACAATGACACATAATCTTTTAATAGTAAATGGAACAATGTTATTTCAAAAGTAATGTAAAGTGAGAATGGTCCTCCAAGTTATTTAGGTGATATTGATACGATGTTTCTATGTTCTTCTACATTAGATTATTGAATCAAGAATTATAAGTTGATTAAATTTGAAGAGGGCTCTAGACTAGTTGATTTTTATTTTTATTTTTTTATTTTTTTTTGTTTTGAATTCTAATCCTGAAAGTATCCTCATAGAAAAGTTAGAGTGGAATATGTAAATTCATATCAAATGCACGAAATTTAATATTTTCATAGTCAAGATGTTATATCGTCAAAATTTTGTAGGTGAAAACAAGGAAATAGCTAGAAAAGAACAATATATCTTTACTGGTCCACTACTGCGTTTATTTTTTTATTTTTACTTTTTTTGTAATAACTTATTTTATGTTTCATATATGGAGACTTGACTTTTATGAGAATGGCAATTGGCAAGCTAAAATTAACTTTTAAGAAGCATGATTATTGATTTATGATTTTTTAATTATATTAATTTCTTATGATGTTTATTCTTCACTTTTAAACACAAAAGTAAACGGACAAAACTATATAGCTCCAAAATATAACCAAAAGCAAGTTAATTTAAATTTTGCATTGAATCAGAAAGCCCTAATTGCCGATTACAAATGTGATGAACAACAAGAGAAATTAAAATTACAATTAATTTCTCTGATAATTAAAAACACAATAATATTTTTGTTTGTATTTTAGTCTCTTTCACTATGAAGATTCAAGCTTCATCAATGGCGGGTGGTAGATTAAGATCAACCATACACGGCTCTTCTTCCCGGGATCACGAATCTTTGCAGCGTAACAGCCCTATGGCCTCTTCCTCACGCCCTTGTAGTGCACCTCCTTAACGCCATTAAAAGCCTTACCCTTAACTCCGACGTCGGCTTAGATGACTGTGCTGAGCGGGCCGGAAGCGCGTACATGATTGGAGATGTAGAAAGTGTCGAAGTTGAGGAGATTACCGAAGGTCAATACTTTGGAGTTGAATATCTTGGGAGGAAATGAGGAGACGAGGAAGTAGGGTTTGATTTGGGGGAAAAAATGGCAGTGAAGGTGAGAGAAACGAGTTTATTCATTTTGAATTTTTTAGAACTTTTCCCGACTGGAATCTTCAATTTCGTGGTCAAAAGCGAGCTTACTGCCATTACAACTTTTTGGTGAAATGAAGTGCACTCAATTTCTCTCACTTGGTTCTTGCAAAATCACAGTCATCCCAAAAAATGGATCTCGATCGTACACGTGTCTTTGTCAACCCAACCCTAGTTGTACTATTAGCATTATTGTTTTTTCTCAAATATAAATTATCCCTATTCCTTCTTCAACGGTTATCCTTCTCTATACCCCAACAAATCTAAATCCACACTCTACATCTAGATCCAACAACCAATCACCACCCTACGCCCGCCCTTTCACAACCAGATCTATACACAAAGACTCTTCTGCTACACATACTACCATTTTCACAGTAAAAGAATCGCTGTGTAGCAGAAAAATATAGCCATTTTTGTTAGTCCATCCCGTGCAAGATTTTTAGATGGTGGAGGCACGGTCATGGACTACCAGAAGGCAAAAGGGGTAGCAACCCAAGACTTGAATATAACAATGACCAAGTTCTTGATATTCCTGTAACCCCAACTGTAGAAATCAGGCAGCAACAATATGCTTTGATCTCGCCAAGTATTCTTACAGCAGCCATTATTGCATCCTGGTATTTCTCGAACATTGGAGTGCTATTGCTCAATAAATACTTGTTATTCTTATATGGGTACAGGTACCCAATTTTCTTGACTATGTTACACATGTCTTGTGCTACCTATAGTTTATTAGCCATAAAATGGCTTGAAATTGTGCCGTTCCAGCAAATACATAGCCGTAAGCAGTTTTTCAAGATTTTTGCTTTGAGTGTGATTTTCTGTTTCTCTGTTGTTTGTGGGAATACTTCGTTGAGGTACCTTCCGGTGTCGTTTAATCAAGCTATTGGTGCTGCTACTACATTTTTTACAGCTATTTTTGCTTTTGTTATCACCTGTAAGAAAGAATCTGCAGAGGTTTATTTGGCACTGGTTCCTGTAGTTCTAGGCATTGTTTTGGCTAGTAATAGTGAACCCTTGTTCCATCTTTTGGGTTTTTGATGTGCATTGGCTCAACTGCAGGCCGAGCGTCAAAATCTGTGGTTCAGGGGTTGTTATTAACTTCAGAAGCTGAAAAATTGCACTCTATGCTACTATAAAACATTTTTGCTCGAGGAATCTCGCATGTTCTGCTCTACCATATTGCGTTAAAAGTTTTTGCTGCTAGATTATCAGCTGAGGAAGTGAAGGTGATGGAAAAGATTCCTGGATTCGTCTCAGTTCAAGTGCAGGTAGTATGAATTAATTTTTCCAATGGTCAACGACCCCACACGACCGCATGTGGGTCCGCCCATGACAGTGAGAAACAGTCAAATCTTTTAAAAGCAAAAATAGTGCCTAGCAGCTTTGCTACAGTTTGTACAACCAGTTTGGCCACAGTAGTGTGAAAGCTCCTCCCCCAAAATAAACAATTAAGTGCCTCATTCTTTCTTTTAAGGTAGTTTAGGATTTCAGAATCATGGAAAACTTTTTCATTCAATGCAAACCACAATTGGAATCCTCACGGAGTACTTAGTAAGAGTCCATGTGAGGGATCATTTAACAACTGAATCACTTTTGATTGTGGCTGATCGGCTGAATGTCAACTTCTGGTTCAATTTAGAAAATCGAAATCTGCTGGGCTCAACATTCAAATTAATACCCAGTAGAGGGTCAATTATTACAGAATAAGCTAAATTGACCTCACCAACATTAGTAACTATCATGAAATATGTCTGGCTTGTGTATCCAAGAACGATGCAGAATGAAGGATAGTTTTGTTGAGTTTCAGGTATGTTGGATATATTCAAATCGTCAAACAATTCGGTTCACAATAATTTTGACCTGTTGGTTCGTGTAATTCAAGTCAAACAAATAACATACATACTCTTCAAGTTGAATATCATAAACTAATCCAGGGTCAGTAGCTTTTGATGGGTTCACGTGATCAGAACCAATAGCAAAAATATTTATCGGTTGCAGAGTTTGGTCTTCAATTGGATTATGGACAAGGTTCATAAAATTAGCAGTAGTCATAATTGCAGATTTAATCATTGTAAGGGACCAATTGGGGTGTGCACTTTTGACCAATGTTGCGATGTTGCTCAGGTGAGTGGCCATTGAAGTTCTAGAATTCATGTTGAATGTAGATTTAGTACTATTTTTTCGACTTGAACATTTCAGGCTGTTACAATGTTGACGCTAGGGCCAATAATGTAGGGTTTAAAGATTTCAAAGTTAGATGAATTAGACCTTTGCCTGAAAATAAACAATTGATGGAGCCTAATCATTTCCAATAATAGTTCCTTCGAATGAAATTGAAGCCGTCGAAGTAACCAATGAATTAATATATGCTTTCACTTTTAGTCCATCTGCATAACTGATACAAATTGTAGGAAGAAAATGAGCTTCTAAATTTATATGTAGTCTTCGAGCTCCTCGTTCATGAGAATCATGGCGGCACCACCAGCGTTCCGATTGCTTCACGTCTCAATTCTCTCAATCTTACCCGTTTCACCAATCACTATTTTCCCTCTAACATCGATGTTTGCAAGAGATACTAGTATGCAAAATGGGTTACTAGAAGTCGATCCAAGGTAGATGAGCATCTCTTGCAAACATTGACATTAGAGGGAAAATAGTGTTTGATGAAATGGGTAAGATTCGGAGAATTGAGACAGGTGTAACAATAATGAACGCGGGTGGTGCTGCCATGATTCTCATGAACGAGGAGCTTGAATGCTAAAATATAAATTTAGATGCTTATTTTCTTCCTGCAGTTTGTATGAGTTATGCCGATGGACTAAAAGTGAAAGTATATATTAATTCATCGACTATTCCGAAGTAACCAATGAATTAATGTATTAATTCACCCACTGTATGAGTTATGCCGATGGAACTATTATAGGAGATGATTGGGATCCATCGTTGGTTATTTTCAAGTAAGCGTCCTAATTTATCTAGATTTGGAATATTTAAACATTACATTATTGACCTTGACGTTAACGTTGTTGCAGACTGAAATGTTTGAGTAGAAAAAATAATACTAAATCTATATTCTAGAACTTCAATGGCCACTCACATGAGCAGTGTCGCTGCATTGGTCAAAAGGGCACACTCCAATTGGTCCCTTATAATGATTAAGTCTATGATTATGATCATTGCTAATTCTATGAACCTCGTCAATAACCCAATTGAAGATCAAACTCTGCAATCAACAAATATTTTTGCTATCGGTTCTGATTATGTGATCTCACTAGAAGTTATTGATTCTGGATTAGTTTATGATATTCAACCTGAAGAGTACATACGTTATTTGTTTGGCTTGAATTACACGAACCAGTAGGTCAAAATTATTGTGAATCGGATTGTTGATGGTTTAAATATATCCAACATGACTGAAACTCAACTAAATTATCCTTCATTTTGCATCGTTCTTGGATTCACATGTTAGACATATTCCAGGACAGTTAATAACATTGGTGAGGCCAATACAACTCACTCTATAGTAATTGATCTTTCACTGAGTATTAATTTGGGTGTTGAGCTCAGCAGACTTTAGCTCTTTAAGTTGAACTTGAAGTTGACATATAAGGTGACATTCAACCGAATAGCCACGGTAAGAAGCGATTCAGTTGTTGAAGGATCTCTCTGTGAGGATTTCAATTGTGCTTTGCGTTGCATGAAAAAGTTTTTCTATGATTTTGAGATCCTACACTACTTTGAACGAATGAGGCAGTTATTATTTATTTTGGTGGAGGAGCCTTCATCACTATACCACTAAAAGGCCGAGTTTCGATGATTCGCTCTTCTAAGTCATTGAGTTCAAGATTCAATGTGCCCACTATTCCACTAAGGTCGAGTTTCATTAAGTTCAAGATTCAATGTGCCCAAGAGTCCGAGGATAATGATGAGGTTTTATTTCTTTTATTGATTAACATTTTTATTTCTTTTGCCATGTACAAGATATCTAACCTTTTTATCAGTGTCATAGCAGTTGGAGTTTATGGTGGATATAAAGTGAGGGCTGTGTTAACGCAGTCAAGAATAAATTGCAAACTGTTGATGGTGAGGATATTAAAGAGTGATGAATCTAACGATTTTGCACTTTTGTATCTTCATATGATTTTCTAATAATAATATTTGTTCCTACTCAGTGTCCAGTTTTATTTTGTCTTTTTTATGCCTTGATTCGATTGTCCTTTGTTGGGGTTGTTAAGAGCAGGTTCAAAGTATTAAGTGATTTTACAACAAAAGTGCAAAATATAAATGTGCAAGAAACATATATAATAATAATAAAAATGATAAAATAAAATAAAAAACGAAAGGACATAAAATTTTTTTGCCCTAAGGCAAGAGGTTCAGAGTAAGCTTCTAATCCCCTTTTGTGCTTCCACCACCAGAAGAACTCACTGCATTAACCAGAACCATGAACTATCTAAATATTACAGACTTGAGACCTAGGCCAGAAATCACACAAGATTATAGAAGGCCCTCACAAAATAGCCTCAACGGTTCACTCAAGAGCACTGCTTTGAAATTTCAGTATGCAAATCACTCAAGACAAATGAAACACGATATCAACTTGAAGATTCAGGATTTTCAAGATTGACACACAAACTACAAGGAAAGAGTTAATGGCACTCAGGTATCATTGAAGAAGATGAAGAATCTCCAGACGGAAAGAGAGAAAACTAATGGATGAATAATATTGACCGTCTCTAACCCTAGAAAGCCAGAAGATGCGTATTTATGGGAAGTCTCTAGAAAATCACCATCCAACGGCAATGAAGGTGACACTTGGCATCATCCAGATCACTTGATCCATTAACAAAAGCGTGTTTTGAGAACACGTTTTATCTTCAAATAATTAAGTCAAACTAGTCAACAGTAAAATAAATCAACCATCCAATCAGCATAAGGTTCTACAACATTGTGCCATCTCCACCTTGGTACAATGACTCCAGTTTAAATGCAATAATCTCTCCAGACATGATATCATTTGCACTATTACATGATATACAAATCAACTAGTATTAATGTTCAACAGATTTAAACAATCCAAAAATTTGTTTAAAGGTAAAGCCTTTGTACCAACATCAGCACGGTTATATTCAACTGAAATCTTTTCAAGTTTTACAACACCTTGTGAAATAACATCTCTTATAAAATGAAATCTAACATCAACATATTTATATCTATTATGCAAAACGGGATTTTTACTTAAATGAATGGCGGATTGACTGTCTGAATAAAGAACGACTTCTTTAATATACCCAAATTCATTTAACAGACCCTTGAACCATATCCCTTCTTTTATGGCATCGGTGGTAGCTATGTATTCTGTCTCGGTAGAAGATAAGGCAATAATCTTTTGCAGCTGAGATTTCCAGCTTATGCAAGAATTACACAAGGTGTACATGTAGGCTGAAGTGGACTTTCTATTGTCCCTATCACCGGCATAATCTGAATCAACGTAGCCTCTCAAAACAACACCTTAAGGTTGTTTTTTGTACAAAGTTCCTAAATCAAAGGTACCCTTTATATATCTAAGAAGCCGCTTCATGGCTTCCCAATGTGCTTCACTAGGATTTGACATATATCTACTCAAAACATTTAGAGTGTGTTTGATTGACATGGAAAATATTACCTAGAAAAGAAAATATTTTCCATCTTTTGTGGAAAATAAAAACCACCTCTACCCAAGGAAAATATTTTCCTTAAAAACAAGGAAAATTAGGCATATTTTCAAAAGTTGGAAAATGTTTTCCGTGGAAAAAAATAGCAATCAAACATTCCAAGTGAAAATTTGGATGGAAAACCAATATTTTCCATGGAAAATAAATGTAATCAAACACACCCTTATAGAATATGTCAATTCTGGTCTAGAACAGGCCATAAGGTACATCATAGACCCAACTGCATTAGAATAAGGCACTCTTGCCATTCTTTCAAATTCTTCTTTAGATTTAGGATATTGTTCGTTAAAAAGTTTGAAATGGTTGGCCAAAGGTGAACGCACACTTTTGGAGTCAGACATCGCAAACTTATTTAACAATATTAGCATATATGATTTTTGGCTAAGACTTAGTGTACATTCCCTCCTATTTCTTTTAACTTCAATATCCAAAATCCTTCTTACCGGATTTAAGTCCATTTCAAATTCTGATTTTAATCTATTTTTTATTTCTTCTATCTCTTTTATGTCATGACTTGCCAAAGCATGTCATCCTCATAATGGAGCAAATAAAGTGAATTTTCTCCACCATTTCCTTTATAATATAGACAGGTATCAAAGTTACTTTTTTTAAAACCAAGTCCAAGGATAAAATTATCAAATTTTTTATACCATTGCCTTGGATGTTTTAAGCCATATAGAGACTTTTTAAGAAGGCAAACTAAGTCAGATTTCTGATTTATTTCAAAATCCTTAGGTTCTTTCATGTAAATAGTTTCATCCAGGTCACCATTTAAAAAAGCTATTTTGACATCCAATTGATCTAGTTTCCAATTAAATTGTGTGGCTAAAGCTAGAATAACTCTTTAACATTTGTAAATTTTACAACTGGAGAAGATTTCATTGAAATAAACTCCCTCTTTTTGGGTAAAGCTCTTTGATACAAGTTTAGCTTTATATCTGATGTCATTTTCAGTTCGTTCCCTTTTTTAATTTTGAAAATTCATTTACAATCAACAACTCTTTTACCTTCAGGTTTTTTGACCAGCACCCAAGTTTTATTCTTTTTAAGTGATTGCATTTCATCTTGCATTGCTGCAAGCCAATCTTTATAATCTTAGCTACTTATGGCTTCCTCAAAAGACTCAGGCTCATTTTCAATCATACTTTGATAAGATAGTAAAGAAATATCTTCATCAAACCTAATTGGAGGTCTTATTTGTCTTCTTTGCCTGTCTCTAGCGAGTTGATAGTTATCTAAGGTCTGGTCAGTTTCTAAATCAGGTTCCTGTTCACCAACAGGAACAGGAGCTTCAGGTGCTTCCTCATTTCTCTCAATAGGAAGTATCCTGATCTGTTGTGTATCATTTTCAGGTTGCTTCACCTCAATTTCAACCCCCTTTTCCACATTTTCAATCTGACTAAGGGGTTCAACCTGATTTTCAGTTTTAAGACAGGGCAGATCATCTTCATTAAATACCACATTCCTACTGATTATGATTTTATAGCCTTTGATTTCTTTCACCCGTAGTCTTAGTTAATATAGTGGGCCTGTTCTTCTTCCTGCTCCACTTTTATGCACATGATGATTATACCACCCCTTGAATTATTATTATTGTTGTTGTTGTGAGATGGAGAGCCATGTTAATGAACTCAACGTTAATTTCGCACTGAATTTCTAGAGCAAGATATCAGCCATCGTCGTTGGAGCAGTCAATGAAGTGTGAGACCCCCCATGTGACTTCCCAATCCAAATTCAAATGAATGCCTTACATGTGGTGCTAAACGTAATAGAGAGTGTGAAGGTACCTTCTGAGCTTAGGGATTAACATGCCACTTTATGATCTCCATCTCCCTCTCTCTCTCCCCTCCTAACCAAATGCTTTGCTTTGAAGCTTGTCACATTTTATTTCTTTATTTTTCAGGTCATTTTGTGTTGATCAACTTGCCATATACAATTCTCAATCCATACTTCATGTCAGAAGTTGCACAGATTCTTAATAAAATCTGTTCGGGGTGTAAATTTCTTAGGCACTATAAGGTCAAGGTCAGGTACCACATTCTCATATACTGAAATTAAGGTTGCTGAAGTGGGAAGAAAATTTTCTCTCTTATTGTGTAATACATATGATGCAGCAAGAAGTGAGAACTAGGAGAAGAGCACAAATCGAAGCTCGGCAATGCCCAATGGAATACTGAGAATTGACCAATTAACAATCATATTTATTCAACTGCAAATTGAGATCTCATTGAAGTTAGAATCTCGTTGATTCAAAGTAAACATTGAGGATTGATTTTGATCAACAGATCCGTAGATTCAAACTTTATACTGATATTGAATAGTGATTTGGAACAAACTTCAAAGATTTCAATTTTATTCAATAAATAACCAAGTTACAGTGAAATCCTGATTCCCTATATAAACAAGAAATACTGTAACTAATGTCTAGACCAAAACAAACTCTAGGAACTATATATGATTAAATAAAACATTGGATTATAATATTTTATAACAAAAAAATAAATTAAGTAATTTAAATAAACGAGTACATAATGACTACCAAAATGAAAGAATTCCTGTTCTACTGCCTCAATGTCGAAATTTGGCCAAAAAACCATTGGTCTCAAGAGTTTTACCCAGTGAATTCTGTTTAAGGCCTGTTTATGCTTAAAAAACTTCTATTTTTCACCCAATTCAGATACGGTAGACTGAAACTGGGTCAAAATATTTGATTGCATCACATAATATATACATTTTATTTCGCATTTGATCTATTCCAACCTTTTGATATTCCTCAACTGTGACGCCCCTGCATGTTAGTCTGCATAAGCTGTCTCATGTTTAAGTAATCAAGTCGGGTTAATAGAGCTAGTTCTTCATCATTAAGGGTGCATTTGCTCATGGTTACTTTGGACCATTTTTGTGTTTTAATATATGAGAGATGTCAAGACTTTGTGGAATTTAAAGCATTTCTATCAATTGACTGTTAATATCCATTTGGAAGAATCAGGTTTGCTCAGTTTATAGTGCACAAGAACCCACTCCACATGCTAACAATATTTGGAAGGTTTGATGTGCATGGGGGGTTCTGTAAATTTCTTATCTTGTTTGAGCTATCTGATTAGTTAATAAGAATAAGAATATGTTCAAGGGATAATTTGTAAGTATTGTTGGATTCACTCAATAGACGTAAATTGGATATCAGTGTGGAATTGAGAGCTCTCTTCTGGTATTGTTCATATCAAGAAGTGGACTTTCATCTACTCCATCTGAATTTTTAGTTCGGCCCATCACAATCAACTTGGGAGGCTGGCAATGGAAATTATTGTACTCCTGTCCACTGTTTCTTTATCAATTTGTGAAACTATTTTTTAGATTATTGTATGCCACTAAAGATGATGCACTTAATGACATTGAATGCACTAAATGACATTCATTTATTAAACTATCAATTTTATTTTTTTTCCAATTCTTTGCAAAATGTTATTACTATTATTTTGTTTATGCATGCAGCAGAAAGCTGATTCTTCATCTAGTCATCATCAGCCTAGGAATTGCAAATACTGTACTGTAAGTTCCTTTGGCAATTAATGTGCTTTTACTATGTGTGTGTTACTATTCGCAAAATTATTTCTTCTCGATTTTAAAACCCACCGCAAGTGTACGGTTCGTCAACAAGTAGTAAAGTGGACTATGAGTCCAAGTATCGTTCCCACGAGGATTAAATTAGCTCTAATTAAACTAATGTGACCTTAACCGAATCTAATTGAATGAAAATTTGGTTTAAATGTGAAAACCCTAATTTTGGGAGAAATCCCCAATTCGAAACCCTAATTGCAAAGAAAACCCTAATTTCAAAATTTCACTAATCTAATGAAATAAATACGCAACTGAAATGTAAATATGCAATTTTAGAATTATTATATTGAAATGAATTGAAATGAAATCATTAAGAACTTGAATCCTCAATTGACTATTAAAAACCCTAATTTCACAAATTCAACGAATCGATGAACAAAATGCCAATTCAATGTTCCTAAATTATCCAATACACTCTCTCGATATGTATTGAATCTACTCTTACATACCACCAGCCTATATTTTTATGGATGATGCAATGTATAAGAATGCATGACTTTTTATGAACATTTTCATGAATTGCATAAAGCATAGAGGTAAGTTTCCATCCCCTATCGGACCCCTATGTTGATTTATATTCTATCGAATTTATTCCCCTTCTTTCGAATGCAAAGAACAAATCATCTACAATCACATAATAATTGGCCAAATAATTATGGAAACATTCAAATCATATAAATCAAACATTTATCCAATCGAAATTAATGTTGAATTTATGAAATAACGGAAATTTAAATCATCAAAAGGTTCATCAAATTCCTAATGAACAAAAACCCTAGCCTATAATCATCATTGCAAAATCAAGAAATTGAAAAACGAAATTAAAAGATAATAAGAATACACCCGTATGGAATTTCTTCAATCCGTGTGTATAATCTTCAATCCGTTTCGAGCCCGTGTGAAATTGAATCCAAAATCAAGTTTCTTGCCTCCAATTTTGGTCTCTCTCTTCTCCCCGTCGTTTTTCTCCTTCATATGATGAATTTAGGCATTTATATCGCGTCCAAATTAAGTAGAAAATGAGTTTCAACCAAAACGAAAAACTGCGCCCGAGATTTAAAAATTCTTCTATGCGACCGCATAGAAGGAATCTATGCGGTCGCATAGTTCAAATTGTTTGGGCTCATTGAGTCCCTGGAGCCTTCTATGCGACCGCATAGAAGGTTACACTATGCGGTCGCATAGAAGTAACCATCTATGTGGTTTGTTCAATTTGGTCCCTGAACTTCTTTGTTGCTTCTCTTGACTTCTTTATTCGATTTTTTCATCTTTTCAACAAATTTTATCTTCCAATTGATGATTGATACTATCAATTCTCATGCCCCTCATTCGGCATATCTTTTGAGTATTTGCGCTTTAGTCCTCCAACTTTCAATTGTCTTCATTTCAATCTCTGTTCAATATTTTCTTCTTCCAGTTGTTTTGCTTTGTCATTGAGCTCATACTTGGCATGTCTTCCCTCTCGTTTTGCATTTAGCTCAACTTTTCAATATTTGCACCTTTGGTCCTCGAACTATCAAATTGTTGCGTTTTGGTCCTTCTTCAGCTCTTTTCTCCTGAATTCCACAATTTCCATTGAATTACCTACAATGCATAAATTTAACTGGATTAAGTCACAATTCAACCATTTTATCCATGTTTAAGTCATGTTTATGATCCAAATAAGCGTGTAAAAACACACTTATCAGTTACCAAACTTATATTCCATACGGAAAACAGGGAAGGCTAAGAGACCGTTATCCGCCAATGAAACTTAAAGTATCTTCCAAAGGCACGTTTGCAAAGACGGCAGTTGTTGCAGAGGTCAATGAGAAGTTCATAAATAACGGCTCAGGAAAAGTTTTGGCTTCTGACAATTGGGGTTGCACCCTCAAGAAACAAACCCAGAAGAGAGTTCCCCACAATCAAACATAAGAGTTCTATCACATGCCCGGGTAACATTCCCATTACCGTTTCTAGTTGAGTGGATGTATTGTTCATTCTTATCTCTTCTGTTTGTATTATGATCCCTACATTTCAGCAAGTGCACTTTTTGGTTTTATGTTCTTTCAGTTTATTCATTGCCGTGTAATGTAGTTTTTCTGTTTTCTATGACCTTGAAGCTGCCACAATGAATTCCTTTACCCTAAGCATGCCTCTTTAGCTATAATGTACTTTCTTCTAAAAGCACCTGCTACATTGATAAAATCAATTGAATGTCACGTGAACGCTGAAATTACATAATTTTTATGACAACATGAACGTGGAATTCCATAATTTTATGTGGTGGATGCTGAAATTTTTTGTTGATGAAGTCCTAAGATAGAATGTTATTATTATTAATTTTTGTTTTGTTGATTTATATGGGAACTAGGTTTTATTTATTTATTAATTTTTTTTAAGCAAAACACAATCACATGCTACACCAGGAAAGACTGATGGGGGTTTGGATTTTCCTGCCATATATATATATATAAACAAACTCTTGACTATGTTGCCTAGACTCTCCAAAAATGGTGAAGTATCCGTGTCGACACGACATGACACGGATACCGACATGGGATATGGATCGGATCCTTGGTTTTGCAATCGGACATGGCAGCAAAAGAGGGAAGACGGCGGAAGGTGGAGTCTTTCTTCTAGCCGTACCAAATTTTGTCTATGAAGATGTAGTTATCCGGCCTTGTGTCTATTTATGGATGCTTCTAGCTTGGAAGAAAGAAAACAGTAGAGTTGGGGAAAGAAGACTAAGGAAGAAGACAAAGGGTTGCCCTAATTGATTGAAGTGGGACTTGGACAATGTTTTATAAGGGCTGTTGTTAATTCCAATGTATATAATTAAGGAAATTACAATTATTTTATTGAGATAAGTTGTATGGTCAAATTCATTTAATTTGAGTTTATTTGTTTATTTCTAATATTTATCTAAATGAGTTGTTTATTTTGTAATTAAAATAATTTAGTCTATATCTTTTTTTTTTAAATATTAAATTTGAATTTATTTCTATATTTGTTTTTTAATAATATATAGGACATTTACATTGATTTTTTCCTTTAATTTTTTTGAAATGTCATTTAAAAAAAAAAATGTTTTGTGAAATGTGTCCCCATACTCTTATCCAAAAATCAAATCATTTTTAACCGTATTCCCGTATCTTCTTCTTTTTCTTTTTCTTCTTCTTCTTCTTATTATTATTATTACTTTTTAATTTTTGACAATTTATATGCCTTGATCCAAGGATATGATGAGATGCAAAAGGAATGATGGAAAGATAGATTGTATTGTCAGTTCACCAATCGAGCTGCAGTCCTTTTTTTCCGAAGCCAAACTCTACAAATTAGAATTGTAGTGTACAAATTTTGTCTCTACCGAACTAATAGAAGATAGTTTAATTTTGCATGTCCTCATTCACCTTTGAGACGGCCCACAATCCAAAGATTCAAATTCTGACAAAACTTTCAGCAGACTTTGCAGGCTATGTTTTTGTCATTGTTTGTTCATTGGAGACATTCAATCCAACCAAAGCTTATTAAAGAAATTGATCAAATTCACGATATTTTATGAGCCACTAGGTCATCTATTAAACACACAAACCTAGAAAGGCCAGCATTTGCCAAGATGGAAATTGAGAGTCGACCTTCGGAGATTTCTAGAATCGCAGGTAATGGAAACACTCGGGTTTCACGATTACTTTTGAAATGTCAATCTTTTCCATTTCTTAAAGTTGCATGTTTCAACTTTCTAAAACAAAACCACGGAGAACCCTTTTCCCTCCGACTTACATTTTACCCATTTTTCCATGTACGGAAAAGCTTACTTCTTTTATGAATAGGAAAATCAGCATCGACTAGACACGGGAATGGTCTTAAGCATGAGCAAGGCCTTGTTAATGGGCTTAACGGCATAATATATGGTGGTTTTACTTTAATGCAACTTCAAAAACTCTAGCAACAAGCACTAATATGCAAGTACATGGAAGTTGGATTTCCCATTCCTTTTCATCTTATTATGCCAATTTGGAAGAGTGTTACTTCTCTTAGCAGCTCTCAACTTTACCCCAATTGTAAGTACAAAATGTTACAAAAACATCTTTACTTTTACTATCTAATTATTTCTCTGCAAGTACATTTTTGTGGTTATGTGGTTTTGGGTTACGCAGTGTTGGGTTATGGTGCCTTGAACACAACTAGCTTAGATGATGAGCCAGGAAGGTGCAGGAGAACAGATGGTAAAAGATGTAGAAAAGGTGCTGTTACAGGACACAAATATTGCGAAAGGCACATGCACAGAAACCGGGACTCGGACGGCCGCAGCGTTCAAGAAAGCATGACGAAACACTGACGAACGGAATTTCGACATTATAGAAGCCAATCTCTCTGTTTCTTTGCCGACTGATGGCAATATTTGTAGCAAAAAATGAACCATGTTTTTGAGTTGTTTATAATCTGTTTAAATTATAAATAAACAAAAATGAGTGAGAATAAGTAGGTGGAACTCTGAGTTTCTCGAAATATTCAAATAAAAACTGATTTGACATATTATAACAATAAAAAACATAGTTAATTTTGATAGTCATCAATTCAACAAGGAGATATAGTATATGTTTTGGTAAAGAGCTTCAATTTTATTTTTGCTTTTTCATTTTTAATTTTTGAATTAATATTGTTGAGAAGTTTTTTTTTTTTTTTTTCCCAAGCAACATGGTGATCAAAATATGTATACTTCTTTTCTTTAATTCTATTTCATTCCTTAGCCCATATTTGCCATCCATTAAAATGAGATTTTTCGGGGAAACAAGTTTTGGAATAGTAATTTGTCATAGAACTTGAAAGTATCACACCTTAATAACTAGTCATTGAGGTTGGAGAATCCAAATCTATATAAATCACACAAAGGAGGCTTATACTTCATATGTGAAATTCAAATTTTTGTAAGTTCTACTAGAACCAAGACAAACTGCCACAATTTCGACCCTAGCACTCGCGCGGGGCAAGTGCCCATACACCAACCGAGGGTCTTAAAACGTGATGTTTGCTTTGAAATCAATGTCATAGAACTTGAAAGAGCTACACCTTAAAAATTAGCCGTTGAGATTGGAGAACTCAGGCCTATATAAATCACACAAAGCATTCCCATACTTCTAATGTGGAATTCAAACCCTATAAATTCCACTGGAACCATGACATAATTTTTTGAAGATGTGGTTAAAATATAGGAAAATTTTGAGTTTACGTGCAAATTGCTTTATTATATAAATGTGTCGTTGAAAATGAATTTGAAAAAAAAAAAGAAGAAGAAGAAGTTTTGAATTTAATGGATGCCAAACAAAGGCTAAAATTGTTAGTATTATCAAATTCAATAGACTCCTTACCAACCTTATGATTTTCAAAAGTGTTTGAACTTATATAGTCATGCTAAACGAGCTCTAAAACTTCTATCAGTATGCACAATTTCTTTAAAAGAAAAAAAAAACTAAATTTAGTTTATTTATTGTTATAAACTAAAATATAATTTGAATGAGTATTTATGAATTAAATGAAATAATATAATTTACTCAAGCTTGAGGGGTTTATTTCAACTGAGGTCATCGTATTTTCATTCGAGTTTGAATTGAGTCACTACACTTTAACTTGTATCAATTTGATCATTATAACTTTAACTTCGTTGGCTCAACATAGTCCAAATTGTGTCAAATTCAGTGTTACATCTCAATCAGAAAATCATTTCCTTATGTATAAAATACAATGTTATTAATAAATATCTTTCTCTTTGTAGGAGTAACAAATTCTTTAATTATGCAGATTTTATTTTGCAAATTTGGGTTTAGAAGCAAATTAAAGACAATATTGTAGCAAAAAATTGTCAACGCATTCACTATCACAATCCAAACTGTTAAGTTGGCATCACAGTAACATCCACTAGTAATTGATGGTAATTGGTAACGTCAGCTTTTGATAATATTCAATTTGGAGGGTGTTTGAGAGTGATTTTTCACGTTAAAAAATTGATTTTTTGACCGTTATTTCACTATTTCAATCGTAAAATTTGACTTCTTCTCTCATATGTGGCCCCACTTTTTTCGTAACGATCAAAAAATTAATTCTTAAAATCGCTCCCAAACGAGACGTTGATGTAGTTGAATATAATGACCCAATTCAAATAATTAAATACAATAATTTAACTGATAAAAATTGAGTTACAATAATCCAATTTAAAGTTGGGTCCCAAGAAAAATGGCACAGAATTTCTTGAATATTAGCCATCCAATTGACTTAAAAAAGTACAAAATCTCTCAATCACTAATTATCAAAAAATAACATTTAAAACACTTATTAATCAATACCGACACTCCCCGGTCCCAGCCACGAGATTTCTAATAATTTTTTCTCAAAAATTCCCCCTTTTCCTTCATGGACGGTTATCCTTCTCTGTACCCCAGCAAATCTAAATCCACACTCTACATCTAGATCCAACCACCGATCACCACCCTACGCCAACCCTTTCACAACCAGATCTATACACAAAAACTCTTCTTCTACACAAACTACTATTTACAGTAAAAGAATCACTTTGTGTAGCAGAAAAATATAGCCATTTTTGTTAGTCCATCTCGTGCAAGATTTTGTGATGGTGGAGGCACAGTCATGGACTACCAGAAGGGGTAGCAACCCAAGACTTGAATCTAACAATGACCAAGTTCTTGATATTCCAGTAACCCCAACTGCAGAAATCAGGCAGCAGCAATATGCTTTGATCTCGCCAAGTATTCTTACAGCAACCATTATTGCATCCTGGTATTTCTCGAACATTGGAGTGCTATTGCTCAATAAATACTTGTTAAGCTTTTATGGGTACAGGTACCCAATTTTCTTGACCATGTTACACATGTTGTCTTGTGCTACCTATAGTTTATTAGCCATAAAATGGCTTGAAATTGTGCCGTTCCAGCAAATACATAGCCGTAAGCAGTTTTTCAAGATTCTTGCTTTGAGTGTGATTTTCTGTTTCTCTGTTGTTTGTGGGAATACTTCATTGAGGTACCTTCCGGTGTCGTTTAATCAAGCTATTGGTGCTACTACTCCATTTTTTACAGCTATTTTTGCTTTTGTTATCACCTGTAAGAAAGAATCTGCAGAGGTTTATTTGGCACTGGTTCCTGTAGTACTAGGCATTGTTTTGGCTAGTAATAGTGAACCCTTGTTCCATCTTTTTGGGTTTTTGATGTGCATTGGCTCAACTGCGGGCCGGGCGTTAAAATCTGTGGTTCAGGGGTTGTTATTAACTTCAGAAGCTGAAAAATTGCACTCTATGAATCTATTGCTGTACATGGCTCCAATGGCAGCATTGGTATTGCTGCCATTTACTCTGTATATTGAAGGGAATGTTCTGGCTGTCACAATTGAAAAGGGGAGGGAAGATGGATTTATGGTGTTTTTATTGATCGCAAATGCCACGGTTGCTTATTTGGTTAATTTGACAAATTTTTTGGTCACAAAGCACACGAGCGCCTTGACACTGCAAGTTTTGGGGAACGCCAAAGCTGCAGTAGCGGCAGTAGTGTCGGTCTTGATATTCAGGAATCCGGTGACGGTGATGGGGATAACGGGTTTTGCGGTAACAATAATGGGAGTGGTTCTTTACAGTGAAGCTAGAAAGAGGGCCAAAGGTACAACTCACTGACAGCAATTCTTGATTTGAATTGATGGTGCTGGAGACAAGATTATTCATATATGATCCGTTTTTCTGCCTTTGATTAAGAAGTTAACTCTGGGCTAAAAAGTCAAAGACTTTAGACGATCTCTTGTATAGGAAGATGAGTGGGAAAAAGAGCTTGAGTTTATGCTCTTTTTTCATTTTGCTTTACTTTATATCATTGACCTTGAATTGGGGTGGTTTAAGAGAATAAAGTTCTCTTTTACTTTCCCCTTTCTGTAATTTTGTATGTCAATTTGATAAATTGGAACATAGATAACAGCTGATTCCTTTAATACTGTTGATCATAATTTTGTTAAAATAGCACATTTTAAGCATGGAATTTTGTTCTACTGTTGGCATTGTTAGTTTTTAATTTATTGCTCTTGTTTGCAGTGACTTGATTTAAGTAGGATGGTTTATGAAAAGAAGGGGTCGACGGAAACTGACATCCTTTTGTAGTTACTAAGTATCTACTTACTTAAATCTTCGAATAAGATCTAGCAATGCCCTATAAAGGATTCACATAGATGACTCCAAATTTATTGGAAACAAGACATAGTTTGTTTTTGTTTTTATCTTTCATATGTGGGTTTTATCTTAATTTTCCAGTTAGTTATAGAAGGAACTTTATAAAGCAGTAGAAAATCCGGGTCCTTGCAAAACCGCAAAACTATTTGTTGCTGACTTAGATTCTATAGTCATGCTCAATTTTGTTTGCACATGAAATAAAGCATGAACCTGGTGCTTCCATATAAGGTCGTTGGTTCCAAACCATCATGGTCAATCATAGGCTGTGAAGCATGGTACCATAAAATTACCATGCCATATCTAAATTTAGTCTTTACATGTGTGAGTCATCTGAATTAGGCCTCCATCGTCTTGAGAGAGAGAGACATCTAGTTGGAATTATGTAGTACAGTACCAACCATTGTTTTATAAATGAAATGGTCTGGTTTAGGTCAAAAGTGTAGCAGTTGCATTCCATTCTAAGAAAGCCTACAAGGATTATTTTTTAAATTTTGTTAATCTCTGTTAGAATTATATAGTATTGTACTGCTTTTGAAGTTTTAGTTTCATTTTGTGGGCCCCTACTCGTGGTTTCACTGTCATCAAATGTGGGCATGGGTCCAGCTTCCACATGGGAGAAAAAGCAACTTGCTGCTCAATTTATTTGGTGGTTGGGACTGCTTTATGTATCTATTCACAAGTTTAATGTAGTAAAATAGCGATGTGGGGTCGTGTAGGAAAATGATGAACATGTGGACAACAAAAAAGGCTCGATTAGTAAAGGTTTGCTTTTGCTTTTGTTTTTGTTTTTGTAGAAGGGGTTCTTGAAGAAGACACTGAATCAGTTTTCTATGATAGCTCTTTTAGTTGAACAGAGCATATTTAGAAAATTATCCAAATAGGTACAAAAGCTACATATTAAACACTCAAGAAATAAGCAAATTTAGAGAATTTTGAGAAATAAATTGAAGTTCTTGATATCTTTGATCCAAGAACAAAGTTGAGCCAAAGATGAGACAGTTACAAGTGAATTGACTCCTTTTATTTTTCCTAAATTCGATCACACGGTTCCAAATACAGTCTTGAATTTATTCATTTCTAATTTATGTTACTTTTGTAGTGACAACTTGAATGCCACAAAAATTTATTCAAAAAAACGAAAAAGTAAATCTTCATTCTGTTATCACCCCACGAAGAATTGGAATGGTTAAGAAAAGATCATCTTGAAAACAGATACTGCCGCAACAATCAACACAAAAGATTTGAAGGGAGAAATTTCCGAGGCTCCTGAAGATCCCGGTGATTGGGGAGGTAAAGGAGTGGGTGTTGGTGCCGGGGCTTCTGATACAGTGATCACAAGCTTCACTCCCTTGGAGCAGTGATCCTCGACTGTACTATTGTACCACTTTTTCCCCGGTTTTGCAAGGGTTATCACGTCTTTTCCGCTAGTTAGAACACCGCTTGTGTTTGTTGCCACACATTTTTGGAAGGTAGGGCCATCTACTTTCAAAACACTTTCAGATCCGTGCGGGTACATAAACACTACACCAAAACCAGTGTGTTAATTGATAAGGACATGTTAACCTCGAACCACCTTGTATTTTCATTTTCATATAGAGACACTATTGATTCATTTAGATCTTGTTTTCAATATGTTTCCTATTATGCAAGTAAGATTCATGTTTTGAATAAGGTCACACGTGTACAATTTTTAACAACGAAGTGTGGCGAGTCATTAAACGTTATCATTTTGCTAATTCTGTAAAAAATTAAGTTTGATGACTGAAATAGGGCACACCCATAAGTTTAGTGCCTAAACATGTTTTTAATTGTCAACGTATATACACGATCTTTTTCTAACAGTTTAAACTTTTAGACGAGTAGTAAAATCTTAAAACAGAAGAATACAAATCATTTTTTTTTCTTTCGGGAGGGGGGGTGGGGTTGTTTCATACTAAGTTATTTGACATACTAAGTGTATCTTCAACGTAAAACTTCTTTCCAGTAGCCCATAATGTGTAATTGACACCCACTTTCCATCCAGCATCCTCTCCGACTATATGTTGAGTTGCCATAGATGGAACAGCTACCATTGCAACGAAGATTGTGATCAAGAAAGCTTTTGAGGCCATTTCGAAACCTTAATTTACTCGAAAAGCCTTCGTTATGATTTTAATTTGCTAATGATAGAAGATGGTTTCTTGGTGTAGGGACATTAATGTATTTATAATCTCTTTGGTACGTTAAAGACTAGACTAGAAGGCTAACGGCGGGTGCATAGATTTTAACTCCACAGTAAAATGGTATGAAGCTGTCTAATTTGGCTGATATGGGTCGACTTATTGTTCAAACCAGTACGAAATTAATAAAATTAAGGTATGTTTGTTTTTCCTAAGAAAGCCAAATGACAATTGCCAGCTGTTAATTTTTTTCTTTTTGTCATTTACAGCAAAATGCTGGTCTAGACGAGATTTTTAATCTTGATGGGCAAACTTTCAACTCGGTGCAAGCCTTTTCTTTGTAAAAATCTTGCCTGAGCATATTCTATTGCTAGCATTATTCCTCTAGATAACTAAGTTAATAGTAAGTTCGATATCGACACGAAAGTTTCATAATTCGAAGAGGGCAAGACTCTGAAAAACGTTCACCAATTTATCTTAGGTTTCATAAAAAAGAAATAAAATGTGTTTATCAGATTTTATTTATTTATTTAGTATAATTTTGCAGGATATCTGTTGACATGCTAAAAGTGCAGCCCAAAGAATGAAGCCCAACTGGGCAATTCAGGATAAAGGCCCAAATATGATTATTAATGAATGAGTGGAAGCCCACGAATGCGGTAACACCATTACCCAAACTTACAAGACGCCCATGATCTGAGCGAATGAAGTGCCTTGTAGTCGCTCAGAGTTGTAACCCCGTTCTCGTCCAAACCTTCGAATCGCCCAGGATCTTAGCAAACATAAGGTATTATGGTTATCCAAAAGTACAGTTATCGAAGCAGTTATTGGGTAATTTTATCACGTTCCACGATTCAAGAAGTTCATTTGAAGACGGTTGAACGACAAAGAATAGTGGCAGCATTTAGAGACGGCAGTTCCACGATAAGTTGATCACCATGAAGAAAGTGGGCAGTTATAAAACAATTAAGCAGTTTCTAAGCGGTTGATCACAAAGAGAGCTTCAAGGGAATATAAAAGGAAGAAAAGACATAGAGCAAAGACCCCGAATCAAACACTCTCAAACAGAGAATATGTAATTTCAATTTCTTAGTTTAGACTTAAACATTTCTTTCAGTACTCGTGTGCTTGCGCCCCTTGGAGGCATTTTGTTTAAGTTTCAATTGTAAAGTCATTGCCAATAAAACACCCCTTTTTGGGACTTTGTTTCAAGATGTTTGTCCCTTACACAATCATCTGATCCCTTTTTAATTGTTAGCTACTATCCGCGCGAAACAATATCAGTTTAATTTTGTATTTCTTCATGTAAACTAATATCTTAAATATGAAGAATAAAACATAATCTATAGCAGTAGCAATCAAATTCAAGAGTCTTTCCACCCAATAGAAATTGCTGATGTTAAAAATTGTTGATAGTCAAAATATAGAGAAAACCCTTCGAATATTATTGTTGATATCCTAATTCACCTACAACAAATACACGTTTATGGAGGTGCTGGGTTGACCAACGGATACCTCCAACACTCAAGTAAGCTAGGGATACGAGTGTAATATGCACAAAAGAATTGTGTGTTTACAATATAAAGAAAGTGTTGTATATTTCGTGGACCGTGGTGTTCAGCACCTTGTTCATGTATTTACATTTCTTTATATACTTGTAGGTCTCCGTTCAAAAATGAAATTACGTGTGGAATTAATAGACTCTTCATTGTCGTACATAATATATTTACCCTGCAATCCTAGTTTTTATTATCATTGTAGCTATAATTATTTCCTATAAATATGGACCTTTCATTCTTAATAAAACAAAAAAGTCTATTGACTTCTCTACTTTCTTTTCCTTTTCTCTCTATTTTATAACAATCATTGATTTATTCTGCAATTAATTAGACTCATGAATTAGTTTCACCGACCATAAATATAATGGTCTTCTTGCTTCATGATTTAAGAGGGATTGTTTATGCATTAACAGAAATTTATTTTATTTTTAAGACTTGGCTCATACAACAAAATATGTATCAATGCAAGAAGAACAAGACATTAGGATGGTCTTTGAATTTTAAAGGAATTAGACTCCTCCTCCTACTATATTAACCATTTAGGAAGGAAGTTGATGCAATGGAATATATATGAAAAATGATTAACCCAAATACTTGTGATTCTCAAATATTCATTGATGCACTAATAAAAATAATTGGAAGAATTGAGAAACTCTCAAATTTTTCATACTAATTTTAATTTTTTAGAGGAAAATAAGAAATCCTAACTTAATATTCTAACAAAGATAGACCCCACGAAACTAATCAAAACAAATTTCCAAATAATCTAAACAAGGAATAAACAAATAAAGAATAAGGGAAAATTTCATAAGTAAGAATATAAGTACCACACATTGCAAAATTAAGAAAATAAGTTTCAAACATAAAAAATCAGATTTTTATTAAAATTTATTTATGATTTAATTAGTTAATTAATTATTTTATTAATTAAATATATTTAGGTCACGGATCTATACAATTTGGTCACAAATTAACAATATAATTAGTTACTTATTATTTTTTGGTCACAAATTAAAAATTTTATGTTACAAATTTTTTTACGATCACAATTCAAAAATTTTGTAAGTCACAGTTTATTTATTGGTCACAAATCAAAAAATAATTAGTCACGGAGTAATTTTTAGTCACGATTTATCATATTATTGGTCACAACTTATTTTTCGGTCACAAATTAAAAAATTTATAGGTCACATATTATTTTTTGGTCACGAATTCAAAATTTTATAGGCTACAGATTAATTTTGCGGTCACAACTCAATAAATTATAAGTCACAAACACAATTTTTATGTCACGTATTATTTATTTATTACAAATTAACCAATTATTGGCCACATTCAACTTATTAGTTGGTCACAACACATGTGACCACCACCTAGCCACTTCTTGCAATAGCCCACCTCCACCGTTATCGTCGCCGTCATAACTACCACCACCGTCATCTCTCGACGATAACATCACCACCTCAAATCAACAAATCGTTGTGCTATATCCACCATCACCTCAATATACCCTCGCCACCAACATATCACCATAACCATCGCCACCATCTCACCCACAATGTCCACCACCACCGCCACCATCAGAACCACAACACCACTATATCCAACGTTACCTCCGCCATCGTTGGATCCAACAAAGTCACCACACCACTGCGACGACCTACTCCACCGCAACACCATCAACACAGCAAAAATTTTGGAAAAAAAAAAACGAACGACACCACTGACCACCATTGCACAACCAAACACCCGACACCACTAACCACCACCACCACTACCAAACCACCTCCATAAACTACCTCAAAACCACTTGTGACCATCGCTAGCACCATCGCCCCCACCACAACCTAAATCAACACACAAACGCGCGACCGTCACCAGCTACAGTACACCACCGGGGGAATGAAAGTCTTTGGAGAAGCGAGCATTGTCGGGCGAACTGAGCGTCGCGGCTCAGATCATCGACGCTCAGTAACGATTTTATCTTGCCGGTTGCTACTTTGGTCCTCAACGTCGTATTGTTTCGATGGTGGCATCTTCACGGCGACGGGCAGCGGCATCTTGAGGTAGAGAGAGAGAGAGAGAGAGTGAAGAACAGACGGTGGAATTGATTTGGGGGTTGGGGTGAGAGTGGGTATATCAATTTAATTTTATTAGGGTTTGGAATTTTGGTTAATAAAAATATTGATTAAAATAAAATTTTTGATTTTTGAATTGTTAAACTTGCCATCTGATTTTAGAATGTTGAATTTTTAATGTATGGTTTTGTGTAATTTCCACAAAAAATAATTTCCGCCTAAATAGTAAAAGTTCCAATTCGACCACAAAACGAGTTGGCTTAAAGGTATGGGTCCATGAATTCAGCTCAATAATTCATTTTTGGAAAGAAAAGTAATAATGTTCATCTTCCGGACACGATTGTCTAAGTCAGTATATACAATCACATAGGAATTAAATCCAATTGCATCAAAAGTACATCTTTGCCTTCGGTAATCAGATTACTTTGAAACCTGTTAGACCATATCAAGTGAAATTTAATTTGAAAAATTGACCACATGAATTTAATTTAATTTGATTGTTGTAATAGTGCCGGTAACGCATTTCGATTACTAGCTCTAAGTTATTTGATGTATCAATGGGTGAGTCAACTTATTGGTCAATATCTCAATGCTTTAAGAAATAAATTGAAATGTATATTCGCGATATGGACTTCGTAACCTATTTAATAGACATCATCATGTTGTCAAATGATTTTGATATTTTAGTGAATGGTTAAAACTAAGCTCGATAATTCAAAATTATTTGTTGAATTAATAGTGTGATGTGATCACATGAAACTGTTAAATAGAAAATGGGGTTTGATGATTTTTGTGTATTCGATATAGAATAATTATATTCATATTACAATTTTTATTTCTTTCATCACATTTTAATTGCAATTAAGGTTCTCAATCTTTGTTCATTATAGCATTTACGTCTCCAACGATTTTTCATGACATTTTTATCCTCTATTTTTTCAATAAATAATTAAGCGAGAATTTTTTTTGCCCCATTTCAAAGCATGGAACGAATTTCTTTTTTAACATAAATCGTTATCAAGGACTAGATATGCTAATTAATAGAAGTTTGAAGATAAGAATTCGATGAAAATTTAGGAAACTAATTGCCACAATGAATATAGATGAAAAAACTTACTTGCATTTAAAATGTGATGTAACAAATAAAAATTACAGTGGTAATATAACCAAGTCATTTTACCTTATTCAGAATATTCAACATGGTCTACGCGATAATACATAATAACAATCAATCAGATGGTATGGCCCTTCTTTGGGCTCCGTTTTAATGGAAATTTAGGAAAAAAATGAAATTTGTAATAGTAATTTTTTTTTTTAGAATGTGTAATTAAAAAATAAGGAAAGTTATGAAAGTTTACATGCAATATTATTTTATTAAATGATATGTTGTTGAAAACGAATTTTGAAAAAATGGGGCCAAACACAGGCAAAATTATTATTTATATAATTCAGTAACTTCAATTAGAATGAATGGACAAGCTCATTCTTTTAGTGGAACAGAACATTATTAATTAATTATCTCAACTGATATCGGGTCAAGATAATTTCTTGGAACTTAGTGTAACTGGATCTAATTAGGCTTCTTTGGTGGCTTCAACGTAAGAATCCAAATAAATTATAAGAGTTTAAATTTATTATTGACAAAGAGAGTGGAATTTAATTAATTAATTGGACAGAGATGTGTCACATGTGCCATTCACATATGGAAAGAGTGTGGTTCAACTAAAGAAAAATCTTTTTTAGTTGTGAGTTGTTTCCACATCAAACTAAAAGGAAGAGTCATATAAATGTTTTCATATCCAAGTCGTGTCCACAACATAAGTATGCACTTACATTGAGGTTCAATTAATGTTAATTTTTCTTGTGTCTACACTTAAATTTCTACAATTTTGAGTTCTTAAAATATACATAGAAGGCCAAAGACTGAAAGTAGAATGAAGAAGATTAAAAAGCAAAAGGATTTGTGTGTGTGTTGGGGTTTTGGGGGGGGGGGG